GGGGTAAGGGGGTCGGGGAGGGAGGGGAGAGGCTGGAGGACCTTAATAGGCGTTTTATCAGTGGAGGGCCCAACCATTGGCACCAAGTCCCAAGCCCTCCCTTTGCCCTTTTCTGGAAGTTTTGTGAAAATATACTATCAATGCTGACCATGGACATGGGGTGCAAACTGCAAATCATTTGTGTGCTTTTTACCTTTTCTACAAGGCACAAGGAGCAAGTGACATTAATTTGAGTACTTATCGTTTAGCCCAAAATATCAACAATATTATCCCAACATTAACGTTAATGAGGGAACCTTGGAGGCTTAGTGATAGGGACTGGTGCTTCCGAAGCAAAGTTGAACTGTTCAGGTACACCAGTTGCTCCTCTGGAGAAAGATGACCAGTCTCCTCCCCTGTGAAAACCTGCTGGAGGGTCAGCTATGTGCTACAACATTAATGAGATGTTGCTAATTGAAAGAGAGTGTGTGTGTGTGTGTACTTGACCCTCACAGGACATTTCAAGTATGACTAGCCCCGGTTCAAGTGCCAGGTAGACACATGCCATTATTAAATTGTTGGACATTTCTAGATGATGTTGATGTAGTTAAGTGCTGTCCAGTCGTAGACAACTCTTACCATGTCAAAACGAAAGACCTGAGTACTGTTTATGGAGTTTCCAGAAGCAAGCCATTTCGGAAGTGGATGCCACTCCTGCTTCCACACTTGTCTTAATCGGGAAGCTCCACCAGACACTGTCCACCCTGGGTGACTATTATCACCATGGGTGACACATTTTTGGATATGCATGTATAAAATATGTTTGTCAAGCCTGATGATACTAAAGCCAACTGAAAGATGAACATAAGTAATGGAAGGGAGGAGAGTTATGTTAACCATCTCCAGGACCTCTGGCTATATCCTTATATTTTAAAATATAAATCGTAATACACTTTACAGGGCAGGGAGACTGATAAAGAAGAAAAGGCAAAGGACTTGGAATGGTGTTTTCAATCTTTTCATTCTGAGAATTATTTCAGCCAGGAATAGAGAAGTGTAGTTAGCTGCGTTCTCTTTGGACTAACACTTGTGCATGCAGCACCTGAAATAATGAAGTCAAAGAAGAAAACCACCATGAGTGCGAGGTGCAGAGCCCGGAGCTGGAGCAAAGTGCCAACCCTGACCAACACTTCCTGTGTGATCTTGCTAGGGGATTTAGCTTCTCTGAGGTGCAGTTCCTTCTGTAAAATACCCACATCTTAACAAATGCCAGGCTGACAGGTGATCATCAGTTACTTCTTGTCTGGACTTCTGAGTTACACACAATAGACTCAAGCCAGGTGCTCAGAAAAAGTTAGAGACACAAAGACCTTCTCTGAAGAAAAATGGGGTCTCTGCCGAAGGTGCAGCTATTGGAAATGGAACCTCGATGTCCAGCATGGAAGTGAGAATCCCTCCGCTGACCACACCATTTTCCAGATGTTTGCGCCAGCCACTATTCCAAGAGCTTCATCTGTATTTCATTTCATCTGCACACTCTTGAGAATGCATATTCTAGTTCTCTCCTTTGCTGCTGCTGTTAGGTGTCGCTGAATCAAGTCTGACTCATAGTGACCCTGTGAACAACAACAGATCTGAACCCTGTCCTAACCTGTGCTCTCCTCATCTTCTCTGATACACTTGAGTCCGTTGCTGGAGTCACTGTGTCAGTCCATATCGTTGAGGGTCTTTCTCTCTAGAATAGAAAAGGTACCATGAAGCTTAGCTCCACCTTGAGACCCATATGGGTCTACTTGGCAGGTCCGGAGTATTGCAAAGCATCCCGAGGCCACAAACACGTAGGCACTGGAGAAACATGAGCGTGCACCCTCTGAGGTTCTCTGAAGAGAACCATCAAAAAGTCTGTTCCCTTGCTTTTAGGCCTTTCTTATTAATGTACAGTGAAAGAAGCATTGTCATTGTTGATTGCCTTTGACTTGGGCACGACTCAAAGAAGGGTTGTTGTTGTTATGTGCCATCAAGTCACTTGCGATTCATAGCGACGCTATGTACAACAGTCCTAAACCCTGCTCTATCATGTGCCAATTGCACTGTCTCTGACACACCCATCCCGATTACCCCAGTCACTGAATCAATCCACCTCATAGAGGGTCTTCCCCTCCTGCACCGTCCCTCCACCCTACCAAGCAT